AGTGTCATTGAGTCCAGTGGTGAGTGTCAGTTCTACACATCCAAAAGGTCACACACACTGTCCTCCTGGTAAATCCTAAACTCACGCAAATCTGTCTAGAAACAAATTTCAGCACAGATTAAAAACCCACAGGTCTGTGAACAAACACACTTAGAAGCAGTTAATAAGAAAAGTGATCTTACGTTGGCCTAACACTAACATTATTGCAAAGCTTGTGAAAAGTAATCTGATATTGTGATTTTAGCTGGCTAACGTTAGCATGTTTGCTCACGCAGACAAATTGCCAACATGGCTTGGCTGCAGCTGGCAGGACCTTAGCTTGCTTGCTCATTAATGTTATTGCTGCTGGATTTGTTAGTTGGCTATCGTTGGCTTGAAAAATTACTGCCCCAGCTAACATGATCCATGACACCATCTTATGTATTACGAAAAACAGTGAGGATAGCCAATAATAAATACAAAGCAAAAAATGTTCCAAACCCTCACAGCACCCCACCAGAGTACACTAGACTTCTTTTATGGCCAATATGGCCGTTAATATTCCAGAATTCCAGTCATTTACAACAACTACCAGACATTTCAGATGACGAGGACGTCACCTGCCTTTGCACCTCAACAAGCACCAGCCAGGATGCCCTTTTTATGTATTCCTCTTCTTGGTGTTCCTATTCTTACTCAAAAGTCTCAGAAGTGATCACACCATTTCTATTTCATCACCTTCTTCCTGCATCAACGCAAAAATGCTTGTCTCCCAGGTGGTTGATGAGGCTGTCAAGACACTGCAGTCCACTGAGGTTTTATGTAACATTAAGGAGAACGATACTCCTCCCCAGTCAGATCAGAGTTCATGTCCTCTGGGGCTGGTTGAAGTGGAACTGGATGTCAGACCAAACTCCCAGAGTGATCTGTCCAGAGATTCTTGTGATGGGATGTTAGAGGATTTTCCTCTCTTTCTCTTTCCTTCTTAACATTTTCCTCAGAAGATGAAAGACATCTTGCATTGTCCCAGGAGGATGAAGAAGCAGCAGCAGACTGGCAAGTCACTGATGAGGGCAACTGTATTCTATAATTGGCCAGACAAGCCTCTCTGGATGGAGGATCTTACAGCGTCACTGCTGCTGCCAGCTGCCTGGAGTCAAAGGACAGGGAAGCTAAGAAGGCACAGGTAGGAGGATTTAAAGAAAATAGCAAGTTCAAGCACCTTGTTAAAGAGGTGTTATGGTGGATGGTGGAGGAAAAAGATTTCTCCATCTCCACTGGCAGATTCGGATGAGGCCGTGAAGTCATCCAGCGTTGACTCAACATTGACCACTGGAAAGAGCACACCAGGCTCTTCTTGTTCTCAAGAGACATCCTCCAATACCTCCTCTAGTGCTGTAGGAGCGGACCTGAGGTCCACTCAGCTAGAGTTGGTGGACTGCACAGACAATGAGGAAGAGACATCAGAAGACGCTAGTGACAAGGATGAAGAAACCCTCAGTCAGAGCTCTGCGGACCAATCTGAGCCTGACTCTGAGTGTCTCAGCAAAAACCAAGCTGATGTTGAGGAACAAGTTGAGAACAAAGCAAAGAAGAGCAACCACTTCTTATGCAACATCTTTTAAACGTATACGGGAATAGATTAGACCAGATCTGACCAGATAAGGTTTCAGATGTTATAAAGGATTTGTGATGAGTTGTCTTAGTCTTAAGTCAAAGGCAGCCGGGTTGTTGTTCTTGAAGGTGTCTTATCCCTCACCCTTTCCTTGACTTTCTTTGACTAATGTGAACCAGAATCCTTCTAATTGAGGCTTCATGAGTTGTAAAGTGATTAAGCTTTTTCTGGAACAAACACAAGTCCAGCTGTTTTTGACTTGAAGATGTCTTCTACTTATTTATTTATTTATTTTACTGTAAATGTTTGCATTTTTCATGTGTTGTTTTTTAATAACCTCCTCAGAAGAATGAGAAGATGATGAAGAAAGCTTCAGCGGCTGTTGAGCTGCAGTCATTGCAGTTGTTGCTGTGATGTCTAAGGACCAGAATCAGGACCAGCTCCAACCTATGGCCTGATAATCTTTCTTTCCCCTAACTCCCCTTTTCTCCCACATCTTCTTCCCCATCGTCTTTTTTAATGGCTTTAAATGCAACTACTGGTAAAAATTACCTTTATGATATACACTGTTTTTGCAGTGTTATGTCTGTCTGCTTCTCTAAATGATTTTTTGAACTTTAATGGTTCCAGTTGTTTGTTGGACATTATGGTGAGGGTAAGAATGAACATTCTCTGTTACTGACAAACCACACTAAAGTATACAAGTCACAACACAAAGCCAACATCACACACAACTCCAAGCAAAATGTTAATATTTTCCTTAATAAAACACAGCCTGCAACATTTAGAAAGTCTTTTGCAAGCAGCTGTTGTTTCAGGCTACCTGGAAGAAGAAGCAGAAGCGTCTTGGGGATTCTGGCTCTTAGAACGGCTGTGTTGTTAAATGACCTTCTGGGTTTTAACAAAGATTACCAGAGGATATATTTTTCAGAAAATCAGATGCTTAGCACTGTGACTTGAATGTAATGCTAATAGATAAGACTTCCTTAATAAATCAGCGAGTATTAGCTAGGTCTCAGCAACAAGGTAGCTTGTAAAAATGTTTTTTTGGTGCAAAAAAGGCTAACCGGGTCATCCATCATTATATAAAGTCTATACTTTATAGTTTATGGACAAAATACTTCTACCAATTGTTGTTCTACCAATACTGACTTATATGTTTATAGTCTCCAGCAACAACGTATCTGCAGACTATGCACATCAGAACTTAAAATAATCTTAAGGTTAATTTCCACTTGCAATTTATAATATGGTTCTTTCCCATTCAATTGTTATCCTCCAAACTACAACCTAGAATAACAGAAACCCCTGGCTCCCTCCACCCTGCAAGGAAGCATCTGTTCTTCTTCACCAGCTGCTTTTATTCCAGCCTGTGTTCTGATTCACTGCTCACATTATTAGTTGGCAAAAGCAACTATTGTTTTCCATGGAATCTCCCCCTCTCTCCTCCACACACACACACACCGTTTGCCTTTTATCTCTTCAACCATCTCCCTCGGCAGCTCAACCCCTCCCTGTTTCCTCATCCCTCCTACAGCATTTTACTCTGCCTTAAACTCAAAGTGCACTGCTGATAGACGTGTCCATCACTTGATGCAGTTCCCGCTGTGGACAGCAGATGGCAGCAGCTCTCCTCTCTGGACTGCCGTGGCGCTGTCCCTGGTCCTGAAACTACCTCTCGTTCTCAACGCAATGGGCATGTTACCTTTCTCTCCGTCCCGGTTAGACATGCATGGTTGCGCCCGTAAACAATCAGTCTCAACTTTTTCTCTAAGTTTCTATTTAACATGTTTTTACTCATTAATAAAATACCTGTTTCAAGTGAAGTTGACTTAAACAAAAAGTCAATTAGAAGTGATGAAAGATTATGATATTTTCTCGGTTAATATTTCCATTTCGAGTTGCCCGTCGACAGATTTGGCTTGTTTTTTTTTTTTTCTTTACTATCTTACTATTTTTGTAATAAATCACTTTATGAGTGTTAGTCCTGACTGGCACCTATAGCCTTTGAGATGTAAACTAAAAAAATCGACAAAAAGAGTCCAAAGAGTAAAATAAAGGAGAGAGAAAAGGAAAGGAGAGCTCTGCATTCATCGGCTGTCTGCAGTGAAAAACGGAGCAACGAGGAGAGCAGAGGCACAAAACTCCAGGGCGACCTCCACACGGTCTGACGTACCCAAAGCTGGTGGTATAAATGAATTCACGGCGTCACCGAGCTCAGATGATTCGCAGTACCAGTGAGCGCACCCGGCTGTCAACACTCACGGGCTACAACACACACAACCCCCCCTCACACACACACGTCTGCGTCATGCGTCCTGAGAGCGACGGCACGAACGCGGTAACTCCGATGGACCCCGGTAAAACGCACAGCAGCAGTCTGAGGGGCTGACTGTGTCCTGCTTATCTGTCCAGCTGCGTGTCCCCCCCACTGTTCTGGGACAGTTGCGCTCTGAGTGTGGTCGCATTATGGATTTTATAACAACAAGCAGCAACGACAGCAACGCGTCCAGCGGTTACCCAGACGGGGTGGACGTGGTTGCCGACTGGGACGAGGGTGAGAATGGCACGGGGTCTGGGTCTCTGCCAGATGTGAAACTGAGTTACCAGATTATCACCTCTCTGCTCCTGGGGGCCCTTATCCTGTGCTCCATATTTGGCAATGCGTGCGTCGTGGCAGCCATCGCCCTGGAGAGATCTCTCCAGAATGTGGCTAACTATCTGATTGGATCACTGGCCGTGACAGACCTCATGGTATCGGTGCTGGTTCTGCCAATGGCGGCCCTCTACCAGGTTTTGAACAAGTGGACACTGGGGCAGGAGATCTGTGATTTATTCATCTCCCTGGATGTACTGTGTTGCACATCATCCATCCTGCATCTGTGCGCAATTGCCTTGGACAGGTACTGGGCCATAACTGACCCCATTGACTATGTAAATAAACGGACACCAAGGCGAGCTGCGATCTTGATTAGCGTGACTTGGCTAATTGGTTTCTCCATCTCTATTCCGCCTATGTTAGGCTGGAGAAGCGCCGAAGACAGGGCGAACCCCGACGCCTGCATCATCAGCCAGGACCCGGGCTACACCATCTACTCCACATTTGGGGCGTTTTACATCCCTCTTATCCTCATGTTGGTCCTGTACGGGCGCATATTCAAGGCCGCTCGGTTTCGGATTCGAAAGACGGTCAAGAAAACCGAGACAGCAAAAGTGTCAGACAAGTGCTTGTCTGTGTCTCCGGCTATCTTCCACAAGAAAACCAACGGGGAGGCCGGGAGCAAAGGCTGGAAGCGCAGCGGCGAGTCTAAACCCAGCTCTCCGTGCGTAAACGGCGCGGTGAAGCACGGAGAGGAGGGTGAATCTCTGGAGATCATAGAAGTTATAAGCAACTCAAAGACGCACCTGCCTCTGCCCAACACGCCTCAGTCCTCCTCGCATGGCTACGAAAACATAAATGACAAGAACTCAGCGAAGAGAAAGATTGCGCTGGCCAGGGAGCGCAAAACGGTGAAAACACTGGGGATCATTATGGGAACTTTCATCTTCTGCTGGCTGCCCTTTTTCATCGTCGCACTGGTGCTGCCTTTCTGTGCAGAGAGCTGCTACATGCCCGACTGGCTGGGCGCAGTTATAAACTGGCTGGGCTACTCCAACTCTCTCCTCAACCCCATAATATATGCCTACTTCAACAAAGACTTCCAAAGTGCTTTCAAGAAGATTATAAGATGCAAATTCCACAGACCGTAACCACACAGAGTGAAAACATTTGTGTTTACTTATTCGTGGAGTTTTAACGGACAGCAGGAAAAGTTTATTGACTGTATGGAACAGCAAAAAAATAACAAGACTTTTATTCAGGGACAGTCTCTCTTCGGTGTGTGTTCGAGGACCGTGTAAAAAGAAAATCCGGGGTCACTGGCCGCTGATGAAATGAGACAAGACGAGAACTTTTGCTCTTAATGTACAAGCTCATGTTTATTCAGTGTTGTAGCTACAATATATAGCCTATATGCGACGGCAGCCATCGTTGTATTGCCATGCAAGACATGTCATGTGCTGATTCCATGCATTTTACCATGAGACACGCGGGGTTTCCGTCCTACATCATGAGCTTTGTAGCACTGAAAAAATAAAAGCAATCAAAGTTTGTCATTAAGAAACATGAGTCAATTTTTGTTTAGAAAATAGAAAGTAATGAGCCAAGAAGAGATCAGGGGCCTGTTGTGAAGAATCACAGTTTCCCTTGGGACTCGTCTCATCATACATCTATCTTCATATAGATCATAAGGAATTAATCATTTACTGCGTTGTTGAGTAAACAAAGCAGTAAGCAAGTTATCAATTTTGCTTCGACGGGTCACACTGATGATGATGAGGGTGGCTTGGGGAGGGGGAAGGGGAGGCGATCAGGTTATCAGTGCATGGTGTGTTTGAGGTCTTGCAGCAAATGGGTATCGAACAAACCCCCACTGTCTATCCATCAAATCCATCTCAAAGCTGAAAGCATAAAGGGATGGGCAATTTCTTTCTAAAATGGAGGCTGGTATTTCATTTATGATATGTTCTCAACCCCCCCTCCCTCCTCCTCCTCCTCCAGAGATCACCCCCCATTGGCATCTCTCTATTTCTGACTCCCAGATTGTCCCCTGTGTGTGTCTGAGAAAGACAGAAACAACAACCAACTGAGGAAGAAAGCTTGTTTGAGAGAAAAATCAAGGGAGAACATCAAACATTTTCTGTATCATTATTATTATTATACAGTACCATTTTCCATACAGGCCTATAGTGCATTGACTGTTTGAGACAGCTTGTTATATCATTAACATCAAATAAATCTGTGCCAGATTTAGTACACACACTCATAATAACACATAATGTAGAGGGTTGCTCAGAGAAAATAGACCACATAATAGAAAGAGTTGCAGGAAACCTCCTCAGTGTGTAACTGCTCCCATCGATCAAACAAATACAAGACACAAATCCACTTACAGTAGATAAAAAGATAAAGAAGGTCAGATATTAAAAGAGGAAGGAGGAAAACAACTTTCAGGAAGAAGCCCCAATGAGGGCCTGCATGCTTCACAAGATAGGTGGCTATTTGGTCCGTTGTCATGGCAACGCATCAAGCCCAAGGCTACATGGGTCAGACAGAGTGGTGGGCAGGTTGAGACAAGGATGTGAGATACAGCACGACAGTTTAGAGGTGACACCTGTGGCATGCAAACATTTTCTGGTGAAGTGGTCTGATACTCAGCAGGGTATAGAAATGTTACAGAAAACACAAATAACAATTGTATTTCTTTAATAATTAGTCTAATCCGGTGGTGGCAGTACTGCTCATTTAGAGGAAGGCTTTTCTAAGTACTATATAAACAAATAAAAATGATTTATAACGCATTATATTGTAGTTGTAAAGTGTTTATTAATGTAGTTATCAACAACCATAACTCCTCCTTCATAAACAGTTACATTATATGTAAAATACAAAGACATATCTTAACCTTTTAAGTGTTTATAAATAACTGCTTATAAATGTGAAACATACAAAAAAGTGTGACCTAAATGGCGTCCAGAACATCCCTCCAGCTGCAAAAACAATATATACCGTAAAGTAAATCCAGTTTTAAAAAAATGGCAAACACATTTGCCTCCAGAGCTTATATCTTTGATTTCAGGAAACAAAGATTTAGCCACTGCCTCATGTGATGTACTGATGCCGAGGTCTGAGTACCTACAATAACTATGTGCACTAGAGCTGAAATGATGGGTTAATTAATCAATAGTTGATAGAAAGACAATGATAACTGATTCAACTTTCTCTTGTTTCAGCCTCTCAAATGTGAGGATACATTTCTTTGCCATTTACAGTATGACAGTAAACCAAATATATCTCTGGCGTTGGGACTGTTGATCCAGTAAAAACAGCTACAAAATTATAATAATAATTATAAAAGTAAAAAGTCACTAGATTACCTGATAATGAAAATAAATGTTAATTGTAGCCCTAATATTAATTCATTAAGTACATCAATTTCTAGCCAAATGTTAATGATAAACTAAATCAGGCACTTCATACACAACCACTGATTTTAGTTGCAAAAACCTTAACCTAAATTCATAATGCGTAAGAGATCATTAAAGCTTTGATTGAGCCAAAAGATCAATAACAAGTCATAAAAAGTTTGAAATTGTTTCTGGAGAAAATTGAGCTGGAAGGAGGAAGAAAAACCCTCTATCTCTCCTTGCCTCAGTTTTCCCTTCTCCCTCTGATCACTTTTGCTCTGTGGTGCGTTTGTGTGACATCAATGCACTCAAAATGCTTTTGGGAAAATTAATCTCATACCTGTGACCTGTAGGTCAAGTTCTGGGCTTATGACAAGCTCACAGAGGCCCATAGAGAATGTGGTATGAGCTGTTGAGCAGGGCAGAGTATATTTTTCAATTGTGAGTCACACTGTGTGTAAGACCATTAAAATCATTACAGTTTGGCCCTACTATATGGGATTACAAAGCAGCTGACCTCTCCTGAACTATGCTGTAATATCAAAGGTTTGGATTGTAGGACTGCATTAATCCAACCCACTCTGGGATGTTTACATGTAATGTAGGTAGGTGGGAGCAGTGTGGTATCATCGGGAGCATTTCCTTCAATGCAACATTAGAGGAGGGGGGAAGAGAAGGGAGGATAAGAGAGCAGAGGAGAGGAAAGGGGAGGAGAAGAAGATTATATAAAATAGCACCACTAACAGGGGGATTAAAGGGTTTATTAAATGTGTTCCACTGCCCTCTGGCCCAAAACTGAGAAACATTGTGTCAGATTCGGCTCATATATAGTAGTTTGTTATTAGTCTTATAGGAGCACTTTACTATGGATGAACAGCAGGTTAAAGAACAGTCAAAGTGCAAATGTATAGCTCTTGTTTCAGCACTTTCGCTACAGCATTTTCGGAAACTAAAAAGTGGCATCAACCTCCTCCTCTAACAACACATGAGATATTAAACATTTATAGATTTTGTATAGAAAAGTAACCCAGAAAAAAAGTGTTAGTCCAAAGGCAAAGTGCTACTTTGAAATCGATTCTAACGATCAATATCAAACAACAGCTGCCACCTGCAAATGTATTCACTATTGGCATTATGGCTTTCATTTATATGTTAGTTCTTTATAAATGTCAATCAAACAAGTAAATATACTTATTAATATTAATTACCTTATTGCTGTACTTATTATGTCTGTTCTTAAACTTGGATGAATTAGTTCTGAGATGGGACAGTAAAAAGGTTTTCAACTAATCAAAGGATCTAATAGATTTTAGGTGATGAGATGAGCTCTTCTTATTATACAACCTGTCATACTGAAGGGTTTCAAAGGGAAATATCAAAATATATTTAGGTTGCATTCAAAGGAAGAAGGACTGCTTTGGTGTTATTTTCATACATTTTTAATAATAACCTGTGTTCTAAAACCAATTTTAGATATTTTAAGAGAAGTTCCAAGAGTAGAATAAACTGTAAGGGAGGCAGCAGAATGTTTATCGTACCAAACATGTGTTTATTAATCTAACCCAGGTTTTAAAAATATTTTTGTTCAATTGAAACACACACTAAGGTGTAGTTTAATTACATCATTTGTTCAATGTATGGCACACGTATGACCAATCAATCTAAAAGGATCCTTTTTTCTAAAAAAGCTAAATACATTAGTATAAAATACATTAATGGGGGGAAAAGGGTAATATATTGGTGATGATGTGTTTGCGTCTATGGCCACTGAGAATGACAGTGGTGTGTTGTACAATATTGTTCAACACAGGTAGGGAAAAGAATATAGAGTTGAAGAAATGATTGAGGGGTTGAGCAGAAATGAAAAGAAATATGCAATAAAAAGGAAGAGAGAAAGATAGAGATAGAAAAAAGGTTTAGAAGACAATAGGGGGAGGAGAGAGGTGAAGACAAGGAGAAAGGAAGAGAGAAATAGATATGACTGAGCACTCAGCACAACACATGTTTCTGCTTCGCCCCCTCCTACTTCAGGGTCTTTTTGATCCGTCAGAGTTTTTTCAAGGATCTCACAGCCCACAGCCCGTCACACGCCGGAGGCTCTTGCTCTCTCCTTCCAAGCCTGAGAGAGAGAAGCAGGAAGAGAGCACCAGAAAACTCCTTCTGACATGGAGAAATTAGTTGTTTTTAGATACGGTAAAAAAAAAAGGTTAATCTACCTCTTTTAGAAACAGATGTGTAACTCCTGTTTCGCAGTATAGTTAAAAACATGATGGATAAAATAAAGTATTGGTACAGCTCATCTTCCACCAAACACACACACAAACTCATCACTTTGATGGAGGGCAGACGTCACATGTTCAAGGACAACAGAAAACAAGGTAAGAGTAAACAATGTGTAGTGCTTCTACCACTTGACGCTTCCACAAACAATCTAAAAGCATAACAGAGATGAAGAGTCGTGCTTCAGTGCTCAATGCCATTACAGCTGGTGGGAAATACTGAAAGGAATCCTCTGCATCTCCTCCAACAAGAAGCTGCTCGGTTTATTCTCTTTTATTTTATTTTATTTATTTTTTGCCTGCTTTTTCCCAGAGGATCATTCCTTATAAAAAAAAAGTACAATTTAGCTAAAACCTTGATGGGATGAAATATGTGGGTAAACACAGAGTGGATGAGGTGGAGTACCAAACATCAACTGCGAGACACAAACGCCGACTGTGTAACACAGTGTCTAAACAAAGGCCACTCCAAACAAAACATGGCCCTCGCAGTTTGCCTGGAGGCAGCGACTACTTTGCAGCTGTGTGTGTGTGTGTGTGTTAAGAAGAGCAGAGGGAAGTAGAGACAACATGGGCTGCATGCAGACAAAGCTGGGGAGGCAATTTGAGTCCAGCTACTTAAAAGAATCATCCACCTAAATTAAAAACTCATTATTTATGCAAGGCCAAATGTCAGTTGACAGCTCAACTTCAACTAGAACTTTTGTCTTGTGGCCAGCTAAAACAAAGATCTCACACAGACTGAAACATAAGATACATAAAATATAATACAATACATAAAAACATGTAAAGCAAATGCTAA